TTTTTTTTTTTGAGGCAGAGCCTCAAGCTGTCCCCCTGGGTAGAGTGCCATGGCATCACAGCTCACAGCAACCTCCAACTCCTGGGCTCAAGTGAGTCTTCTGCCTCCGCCTCCCAAGTAGCTGGGACCACAGGCGCCTGCCACTGAGCTCGGCTATTTTTTGGTTGCAGCCGTCATTGTTGTTTGGTGGGCCCGGGCTGGATTCGAACCCGCCACCTTAGGTGTACGTGGCTGGCGCCTTAGCCACTTGAGCCACAGGCGCCGAGCAGGTCCTGTAACATTTTTGTAAGAAACATTAAAAAACCCTCTAAGCCTGCTCAAATATTTCTTATTCCTTAAAAAGCCTCATTTTGATCCTGCAATAGCCCCTTCATTCCACCTACATTCCTGCTGCACACCCAGCTCCTCTTGCTTTCTCAATCAAATTTCTTGAAGGAAGAAGCACCAGCTGGCATCTTTTTGAGACAGAGTCTATGTCACCCTCAGCCAAGTGCAATGGCATCACAGCTCACAGCAACCTCAAACTCTTAGGCTAAACGATTCTCTTGCTTCAGCCTCCTGAGTAACTGGGACTACAGGTGCCGGCCACAGTGCTCGGCTATTTTTTGGTTGCAGTTGTTGTCTAGCAGGCCCAGACCTGCCAGCCTCAGTGTATGTAGCTGGCACCCTACTCACTGAGCTACAGGCGCTGTGCCCAGCTGGCATCATCTTAACACCCACCACTCACTCTGGCCCCTGTAACTTGGTATTTGTACCCTGTCAAGTCTCTGAAATGGAACTCACTCACAACATGTTTTTTCTCACTCATTCCATTTGACTTCTCTGAAGCACTGGCCATGGCTGATGCTGCCCTTTTTCTTTTCTTTTTTTTGAGACAGTTTCACTTTGCCACCCCAGCATCATCACTCACAGCCACCTCAAATTCTTGGGCTGAAGTGATTCTCTTGCCTCAGCCTCCCAAATAGCTGGGACTACAAGAGCCCGCCACAATGCCTGGCTACTTTTAGAGACAGGGGTCTCTCTCGTGCTCAGGCTGGTCTCGAACCCGTAAGCTCAGGTAATCCACCCATCTCAGCCTCCCAGAGTACTAGGATTACAGGTGGCTGCCTTTTTCTTGAAGCTTTGTTTTCTTTTTGGACTTTTGTGCTCCCCTTGTTATATTCACTTTCTATCCATTCAGATTTTCAATATTCCAACCCCAATCCTCAGACCCACACAGACCCAATCCCTCCACAGTTTTTATCAATACCCGCTGGGTTAAATTATCCCCTCTTTCCTGATGACGGTTACATCTACATCTCTAGCCCTGTCCTCTTTCTTAAAGCCCAGAGTCAACACCTACCCTCCATCTGGATATCATACAGGGGCCAAATTTAGCATCACTACTTAACTCATATCTGCCCTGCCTCAATCAGTGTCACCACCATATACATCAATTACTTGACTTGTTTTGGTGAAAAGTACAGTAGCTTAACCAGGTAGTGAAGTTTTCTCACCTCTGTAAACCCATCTTTAAGAGGAGTAATAGGTGTCATTTGTCCCGGAAGAGAAATTTTCTTTCCTTCTTCAAATGGGCGTGTAGGTATTCGATGCAAATAACCATATCCAATGCCACATCCTAAGCTATAAAAATATTTTTTTCTTAAAGTTATTAATCACAGTTTGCATTTCTTTGAGGTTTTAAACTATAAAAACAAATTTCCATCCTTTTAAATGTCGTCTTAATCTTGTGAGGTCTCCTCTGATGACCGCATATGAAACAGCATCCTTCCTTCCACCAGAAACACTACCCTTACTCCTTTATATTTTTTCAAGCATTTATCACCATCTAACATATTGTATATTTATTTGTTTATTGTCTGTCTTCTCCCACCATAAAGGGAGAAGACCTTATTTACTTAACAGTTCCTGGCACACAGGAGATAATTATTGCCCAGTGAATGACACATATACTTTTCCATGAAGAGCTTTATGCATGCCTGTATGAGGACATCACTTACACATTCCACAGTTCTCATTCAGAATCTGACAAAAATCAGTCCTGAATGTTTAATCCAGATTCTTTTTTTTTTTTTTTTTTTGGCCAGGGCTGGGTTTGAACCCACCACCTCTGGCATATGGAGGAGTTGGCGCCCTATTCCTTTGAGCCACAGGTGCTGCCCTAATGCAGATTCTTTCTATCTCAGCCTCCCACTGCCACTAGAGGCATTTTTCTAATAAGATGTGATCACGGCTCGGCGCCTGTGGCTCAAGCGGCTAAGGCGCCAGCCACATACACCTAAGGTGGCGGGTTCGAATCCCCAGCCCGGGCCCGCCAAACAACAATGATGGCTGCAACCCAAAAATGGCCAGGCGTTGTGGCGGGCGCCTGTAGTCCCAGCTACTTGGGAGGCTGAGGCAGGAGACTCGCTTGAGCCCAGGAGTTGGAGGTTGCTGTGAGCGTGATGCCATGGCACTCTACCCAGGGGGACAGCTTGAGGTTCCGTCTCAAAAAAAAAAAAAAAAGATGTGATCACATTGCTTCTTTCTATAGTCTGATGGCCTCCCAACACTTCTTTGTCCTTTCTCCATTTGGGGAATTACTTCTTGGCTGGTGGGATCGCCAATCAGGGTACTTGCCCAGCCCAAAGCAAGGGAGTGGCTCGTGACCAAGGCCAGGCCAATCAATCTCTCTTGCTCAGGGCTACAAATCTTGGGAATGATAGAAAAAACAAAAATAATTTTATTCCTTCAGAGAATGCTGATGAAATTGCCAATCCCAACAGAACCTCTGTAAGTTGACCACCTAAAGGACTGCAACAAATTGGTTAACATAGGAAGGTGGTCAACATAAACAACCAGACCTACTATATTGATACATACATATCGATAAATATGTATCTGTTTATGATAGTAAAGTAACAGCTGGTTTTTAGTGTTTGAAACCAAATACCACATTTCCCTCTGCTCAAGGTACAATAAATCCTCCACAGGTGATCATCTCCTTGAGTTGACCTAATTTTGATAGACCGGACATGCACCATATATATGTACCAGTACAGTAGGCCTGGTTCCTTAAGTTGACCATCTCCATATGTTGACCAGTTTGTTACAGGCCCTTGGGTGGTCAACTTACAGAAGCTGTACTATATATCCAATTTCCTTACTATAGTATTTAAGGCCCACAATCAGGTTTCAACTGATTTCCATCATGATGTCTTTTATTTCCCAAACCACTTGACACTTTCAGAGTAGGCCACGCATGTAGGCCTGTGCCTTTCCCCTGCCAAGACATCTATTATCTCCATGGTTACCACCACCACCAAAGCAGATAGTGGCCAACTTTAGTCCCTCCTTATCCAAATCTGACTTGCACAATGATGCTTCACCTCGCAAAATTACTTGTTCATTCTTCCCTCATCATTAAAACTATCATTCTCACTGGACTGGATCTCAGACAGATTTGGAGACAGAAAGTAAGATTAAATAATTTATACTGATCAATGGTAGCTACATTTTAAAACACGGTGGTTATTAATCCAAATAGCTAGGTGGTGGCACAGAAGGCACTAGAGGCAACAGCAAGACCCTCTGCAAACTTAAAGATAGCCTAAGAATGAAATTAAGAGAAATATGATGTAATTAATGAAATATGGTCAGCCTGAGGAAGGAACAAAAACAGGCATGGAAATGTCAAAGGCATGGTCAGAAGGAGATTCAGGAAAATGTGGCTATCAATGGTAAAAAATCACACCAAAAGGAAAAATATCTTCCAAAGAAAAGGAATAACTGCTACGAGTCTAGACCAGAAGGGCTTCAGTATTCAGTAGTCACCACAATTAAAAATAGAAGAATGAGCAATGGTCTTTGCTATTGGACTTCACTGTGAACAGAATCTCTTCCTTGCACTTTGACTCTATGCTCACTAAGCACTCACTCTTGTGGTACTAACCTGAGCTGAGTATTCTTCTAACTGGAGGGGGGCATTTTTGTATTGTAAACTGAAAATATGTCATTCCAATGAATATAGCAGCTTCCTTGCAATCTTTCCAAAATGAATAAATTTTCAATGCCTTGAGAAGAGGCATATTTCTCATATTTATAATTCTGGACAATGAACAGCAATAATTTGTGTATTGCCCTAAATAGATCAGATTCTTTTTTTTTGGAGATAGAGCCTCAAGCTGTCCCCCTGGGTAGAGTGCCGTGGCATTACAGCTCACAGCAACCTCCAACTCCTGGGCTCAAGCGAGTCTCCTGCCTCCGCCTCCCAAGTAGCTGGGACCACAGGCGCCCGCCACAACGCCTGGCTATTTTTTGGTTGCAGCCGTCATTGTTGTTTTGGCGGGTCCGGGCTGGGGATTCAAACCCGTCACCTTAGGTGTACGTGGCTGGCGCCTTAGCCAGTTGAGCTATAGGCGCTGAGCCAATAGATCAGATTCTTAGATGATACCCCTACCTTTTCTCAAACTGCAACAAGTTAGAATGCTTGAGGTGAAGCACAGTCAGTGAAGAATCTCAAGCAGTGAGTAAAAATACTATGAGCAAATGGAAGCTTTTCTTGCCTGTAGTAACTAAGTTATCCTTTTTCCAGCAAGGGCTAGAATAGAACTTTTACAAAACATTTCTAAAGTTTCCAAAATCTTAGGCTTTTCTATAATTATACTATATGCTCAATAATTTCTCAAAAAAACCCGCTGCTACCTCTTAGATTAGGACATATACAATGTTCCCTAGATATGTGCTTGAAAAAAATAAATTATTGGTTTCAAGATTTTAGATCAGCTCTTTCCTTTTTTTTTTTTTCAGAGACAGAGTCTTACTTTGTCACCCTTGGTAGAATGCTATGGTGTCACAGCTCATAGCAACTTCCAGTTCTTGGGCTTAAGTGATTATCTTGCCTCAGTCTCCTGAGTAGCTGAGACTACAGGCGCCCGCCACTACACACGGCTATTTTTTTGTTGCAGTTTGGCCAGGGCTGGGTTCAAACCCTCCACTCTCGATATATGGGGCTGGCACCCTACCCATTGAGCCACAGGCACCTGCCGGCCCTTTCCTTTTTTCAAAATAAAAACAGTGTTTACGACATATCTGATAGTAAGTTTAAATAGTCATAACTTAAAAAATACCCTTACCTGCCTTCTCCACCCCATGCAGAATTTGGTGTAATTATCACTTCTCGACAGTTATCAGTGTCTGTGTTGTACACATAAAGTTTCAGTGGTTTTGCTTCATGTGTTTCAATAAGGCTGAATAGGTCTTCAGACTGCAAAAGTAGCACAAGAGAAAAATGTTTTTATGTTATATTTTAGAAGAGTGGGTCTGAAACTCTCATACCTGGCTACTGTCACAACCACCTAGGAAACTTTCTCCCCCCCAAAGCAAAACAAAACAGATTCTGAGTCCTGCCCCAAACATAAAACTGACTTCCCAAGCAAGATTTAATTCAATATATTAATTCAAAGGAGGCCTACTATGTAGAATGCCTTGTGCCCAGTTCCATAAGTTATAGTCAGCATTCTTTTTGTTTGTTTGTTTGTTTGTTTGTTTTTTGAGACGGAGCCTCAAGCTGTCCCCCTGGGTAGAGTGCTGTGACATCACTCACAGCAATCTCCAACTCCTGGGCTCAAGTGAGTCTCCTGCCTCCGCCTCCCAAGTAGCTGGGACCACAGGCGCCCGCCACAATACCTGGCTATTTCTTGGTTGCAGCCATCATTGTTGTTTGGCAGGCCCAGGCTGGATTCGAACCTGCCACCTTAGGTGTATGTGGCTGGCACCTTAGCCACTTGAGCCACAGGTGCCAAGCCATAGTCAGCATTCTTAATAAAATTTTTCTACCGATACATCCAAATTCTACACATTCTGCTTTTGCCCTCCATTACTAAGATCTGGTTGTCTGAACACCTTATTTTTCTCTCATATTCATTTATTTAAAGACTAGTCAAGTGCAGTAGTAAAGAGGAAAAGAATAGAATAAGCAGTTCAATCTGTAACTTTGAACAATCAGTGGAGATATTGTCTCTAATTTTGATTTAGCAATGTATACTTTCCTAGCTAACAGACAAGGAAAAGGATCTGGCCAGGACGTGGTAGAGCTGAACTAATTTTGTTACCTGAGCAAAAAAAGGAAGAGAAATTGAAATCAATAACCAATTAAAAATGAGAATTTGCTTTAGTCTTGAGGTATGTAAGAGATTTCTGCATGTCATACACATACAGTTATGTTTTTTCTTCACAGCTGTATAATAAGACATCTCCCAGATGTTCCAACCCTGAGACATAAGCTATGTTGATCAGCAAAGACAAAAATTTCAAGTCTAAATGCAAAGTAGCCAAATATATTCCTGTGAACGCAAACATCAATGAGAAAATTTTAAATAATTTTCATTACTAATAAGCACATTAATTACCTCATTCATGACCGTATCTGCTCCAATGATATAATCACTGTGAGGTCTAAGACCTGCCAGTGCTGCAGGAGAATTTGACTCCACTTCCTAGGACAACACAAAAACATGCACTATATTTATAAAATATAAGCAGTCCGCAAGTTACAAACATCAGACTTATATACAATTTGCACTTACAAACACAGACTATTGCAGTGAGTCCCCAGACTGATACACGACTCGTACTTTCAAACAGAGGTGATATTAGGTAATAGGTAAATGTACCTTTTCCAATTTATGTACAAATTCAACTTAAGGATAAACCTACAGGATTTGTAATCCGGGGTGCCTCTAATCTTCCAAGTTCATATTCATAGTTCTTAATTACAGTATTCTAACTATCTTGTCAGAGATGTCAGAAACTATAGAATTATGTACTTAACACTTAAGCATAAGATTACATAATATTTAAGATATTTCTATAGCTATATAATATACCTTCTCTTAATGGATAAATCATTAGAAAAATAGCTCTTAAGGTTCTGTATTTCCTCCTCTTCCTCAAGTTTCTAAATTGATCCATATTTACAAAGCAATGAATGCTGATTTGGGAACACTAAAAGCAGCCTAATAATATCCTTATAATCTCACCAACCAGAGATAACCATTGTTAAAATGCTCTTTTATGTTGCCTTTTGAGCTGCAAGTAACAGTTCACAACTGATACCTACCAACACATGCCACACGTTTTCATTTGCCCCGTCAAAGCTGCAGAAACGAATGCTCACTCCCAATAAGCCTTGGCCACCCCACATGTTACTTGGTGTGACTGAGGTCTCTCGCAGCTCCAGTGTTTTGCTGCTATAGATAAGCATTTTTACAGGCTTTTCAACATTTGCTTTCAGTAGATCCTTAAGAGTGTCATTGTCTTTATTCTGTGAACACAGAAATCATATTCCTTAATAAATAAAAATTTAATGTTAATTTAACTTAACATTAAATTAAGGTAAAAGAGTAATGTTGTGGCTTGGTGTCTGTAGCTCAGCGGCTAATGCACCAGCCATATACACTGGGGCTGGCGGGTTCGAACCCAGCTGAGGCCTGCCAAACAACAATGGCAAATACTACCAAAAAATAGCTGGGCATTGTGGCAGGCACCTGTAGTCTCAGTTATTTGGGAGGCTGAGGCAAGACAATCACATAAGTCCAAGAGTTTGAGTTTGCTGTGAGCTGTGATGCCACAGCATTCTACCGAGGATGACACAGTGAGATTCCGCCTCAAAAAAAAAAAAGAGTAATGTTAATAATCAACATAAACAAAACACTCAACAGACAAAGGTTTAACATTTAAATATTTCTTATGTAGAAGAATGTCAAGAAATTACGAACAACTCTTAAAACAACTTCAAACTGACCTTTCCTAATGGCTGAGTACAGATTATGGAATTTGCAACATAACATTATTTAGCATGACCTAGGACTTCAGGGATCAAAACCAAAATATGTGATAAGAAGTCATATTACTAACAAAGTTGTGATGACTTTTCTTTTTTTTTTAGACAGAGCCTCATGCTATCCCCCTGGGTAGAGTACCATGGCATCACAGTTCACAGCAACCTCCAACTCCTGGGTTCAAGCAAGTCTCCTGCCTCAGCCTCCCAAGTAGCTGGGACTACAGGCACCTGCCACAACGCCCAGCCATTTTTTGGTTGCAGCCATCATTGTTTGGCGGGCTGGGCTGGGGATTCAAACTCGCCACCTTAGGTGTATGTGGCTGGCGCCTTAGCCGCTTGAGCCACAGGCGCCGAGCCAGTTGTGATGACTTTGACTTTAAAATGTAAAACATTCACAGAGGTTAAAGTTTAATTTGGGGCTGGTATAGTAGCTCATGCTTTTAGTAATCTTAGCACTTTTGGGAGGCCAAGGTAATTAGACTGCTTGAGCTTAGGAGTTTGAGACCAGCCTGAGTAAGAGCAAGACCCCATCTCTATTAAAAATAGAAAAAGTAGGTTGGCATAATGGTGGATACCTATCCTCCCAGCTAATTGGGAGGCTGAAGTAGGAGGACCACTTGAACCCAGGAGTTGGAGGTTGCTGTGAATTAGGCTGATGCCATGGCACTCTAGGCTGGACGATAAGGTGAGACTCTGTTTCCAAAAAGATTAATTTTGGACTCTACTTCTTTTTTTGTTTTTTGAGACAGAGTCTCTCACTCTGTTGCCCCAGGCAAGAGTGCCACAGCATCAACCTACCTTATAGCAACCTCAAATTCCTGGGTTCAAGCAATCCTCTTGCCTCAGGCTCATGAGTAGCTGGGACTACAGGTACCTGCCACAACACCTGCTCATTTTTCTATTTTTTAGTAGAGATGGGATGGAGTCAAACTCCTGACGTCAAGCGATTCTTGCACCTATGCCTCCCAGAGTGCTAGGATTACAGGCATGAGTTACCATGCCCAGTCCTGGACCCTACTTCTGAATATATACTTTATTTTAATTATTTATTGGGAGCTGGAAGAAAAAAACAAATGGAAACAGTATGTTAAATATTTAATTACACAAATGAATAAAGGCCATTATGCCAAAGATTTTGATAAGTAATGAACAAAAACCTACAACTATTATGAAAAAAATAAATCAACCAAGTAGTTATTGTCATAGAACTTTCTTTGTTGAGATGATATAATTTCCTTCCTAGAGGACATTATAGGTAAACTGAAAACAATTTATAAATAGTGGTCTTAATGCTGCACTTTGGTGCAAAAATTCTCTGGTTCTAATAAAATTATTTACATACCATAAAACTTAGCTCCAAGAAAAGCGACATGTTATTTGAGAATGGGTCTTTATTAATTCATCTGTCAACAAGCTACAAAAATGTGATATCTTTAAAAGCAATCTTTTTTGATTCTACTGAAAGAATAAAAATTAGTAAATAAATAGCGATCTTTTCCATCTTATTTCCTTTGGCTTTTAAAAATTAAATATTTAACATACAAAATAAAGGTCTCCAGTGATTCTACTGCCCTAAGATAATCATGGGAACATAAAGTATTAGTATTCTAGATTTCACATTTTAATGCTTATTAATACATGGTTCGTTATATAAATGGGCATTGGGAAACATCCCAGATAATCTGAAAAATTCCATTTGCAAAAGATTACAAAATACTATAGACAAAGCTATAAAAAGCTGAACTCACCAATCTTGAACCGTTAATAGAAACAATAAAATCAAAGAAAGGCTCCAGTCCAGCTCTGTGTCCTGGGGAATTTTCTTGTACCTGTAAAACAAAAATGCCAAAAATAAAAAATGCAAAGTTTAATTAAAAATTGTAAGATATATTTCAGTAGCTATTGCTTTTGAGTAAAATAGATTAATTTCACTGATAATGAAATATAAGTACATTCTAGTTTTCTCATTTCTCTTCATCCTTCCCAGATAATGCCTTTCCTAAATTCCACCCATTCTTTAAATTCATCTCCTCTGTGAGGTTTTCCCTCTGTGCTATTCCCAAGCACCTTCCCCTTTTTAGAGTGGAGTGGCTAATCCTCGCAGCAATTAACACATAACAACAGCAGACAGTTAATCATTACAACTAGCCACAAATTAAAGCATTTATTCCTTAGCAAGGCATCAGTTATAAAGCTAATACAGGGAACATGGTCACTGACATCAAAGACTTTTATAATTTTTTGAGAAACAGGCAAGAAGAGGAAGGAGAAATGGACACTCTAATCAGTGTAATACAAGACCGAACAGGTTAAAGGCTATAATGGAGGTGTTAAGTTCTAAGGAGAAGATTAATTCTGACTAAAGTTTCACAGGGAAAATATTACACTCAATAGTTCTTTAAAAAGAGGGTACAAATTTCAAAGATGAAGATGGATAAAGGGATAAAGAAGAAATAAGGAAGGACATCTGAAAGTAGATGAACTAATATCAGTAAATACCCAGAAGCAGAAGTCTGGAGAATCATAATACATAAAAGCTAGACAATAGGGTAGAGTGGACAGACGTATATAATTACAGATTTTGAAAACTAGAATTGACCCAGAAATCACGTGATCCAGGGGATCTTAAATTGAAGTCTGTGGATGGCTTCAGGGAATATTACAGCTTCTGAAATTACATGAAATCTTTTGTATGAATAATCAGTTTTCAGGGTGTAAAGACCTATAGCTTTGGCTCGGCGCCTGTAGCTTAGCAGCTAGGACGCCAGCCACACATACCAGAGCTGGTGGGTTCGAATCCAGCCCGGGCCTAACAAACAATAATGACAACTATAACCAGAAAATAGCCAGGCTTCATGGCAGCTGAGGCAAGAGAATGGCTTAAGCCTAAGAGTTTGAGGTTGCTGTGAGCTGTGACACTATGGCACTCTACCCAGGGCAACATAGTGAGACTCTGTTTCAAAAAAGGAAAAGAAAGATCTATGGCTTTTATCAGATTCTTAAAGGCTTTTTCTAAGATTCAAAGAAGGTTTAAAAGCCAATGCCACTAATTTTGTGCAGTTCTTTCGTTTTATAGGTAAAAAAATCACCTCATCCCTTGCCTGTGGTCCCATAGGTAGTGATGGAATAAAACTCAAGAGTAGGTCTTGAAATTAATAGTCCAGTTGGAAGGCTGGAAAGAAAGGGTGGAGCTAGATCTATAGGTCTTTAAATGAATCTCAACAACTCAAATATTTAGCACCCCAAATTTGGAAGAAATTAAATTTTCTAATTTACAGTACTAAACTATTAGTAACTAGTAATAGAAGAAAGCAAAAGGCAAATGTAATCCACTTTGCATTTCCTTTTCCAAAACATTTCCTTAATAGTTTGAAGAATTTTTATTCTGCTTGATGTTATTAAGTACTGTTAAAACTATCCCACAAAGGGTAGCACCTGTGGCTCAGTGGGCAGGGCGCCAGCCCTATCTACCGAGGGTGGCAGGTTTGAACCTGGCCGCAGCCAAACTGCAACAAAAAATAGCTGGGCGTTGTGGTGGGCGCCTGTAGTCCCAGCTACTAGGGAGGCCGAGGCAAGAAAATCGCCTAAGCCCAGGAGTTGGAGGTTGCTGTGAGCTGTGATGCTATAGCACTCTACCAAGGGCAATTAAAGTGAGACTCTGTCTCTAAAAAAAAAAAAAACAAAAACAAAAAAAAACTATCCCATAAAAACAAAAAGTTGCACTGACATTGATAAGCTGATTTTCCATAATAGTCCAAACAGTTCTAACATTTAATTTTGAGGCTATGCAAATAATATGTACATTCAACCAACCATACATAAAGATGCAGCTATTTGCATAGTATCACTTTAATTCTTTCAAAATGAAACCCATTTTGACCCAAAATACATTCCTCTAATACTAATGTCAATCAGAATGATTATTACTTCTTTTTTTTTTTTTTTTTTTGAGACAGAGCCTCAAGCTGTCCCCCTGGGCAGAGTGCTGTGGCATTACAGCTCACAGCAACCTCCAACTCCTGGGCTCAAGCGAGTCTCCTGCCTCCGCCTCCCAAGTAGCTGGGACCACAGGCACCCGCCACAACGCCCGGCTATTTTTTGGTTGCAGCTGTCATTGTTGTTTGGCGGGTCCGGGTTGGGGATTCGAACCCGCCACCTTAGGTGTATGTGGCTGGCGCCTTAGCCAGTTGAGCTATAGGCGCCGAGCCTGATTATTACTTCTTAATGTCACCTTTCATTTATTTAAGCAAAATCATACTATTAGTGTCTCTGAAGAAGTAAAACCAGATATTACGCTTTTGTCATGGCAAAGAATAGTAACATCCATTATAAAGATGGTTCAATGTTTAACTTACTAAAACTGTTTAATCTTGCTTTTTAAGTCTTCCCACAAATTTGGGACTAAAACATTTTTGGGGGAGTGGAGGAACAACGTTTTGCTCTGTTGCCTGGGCTAGAGTGCAGTGGTGTCACCACAGCTTACTGCAATCTCAAACTCCTGGGCTCAAAAGATCCTCCCAGCCACTGTCCCAAGTAGCCAGGACGACCGGTGCACATCACCATGACGAGGTGAGGTAACTTAATAAAAATAAGTTAATTATTTTTATTTTTATTTTTGTAGAGATGAGGTCCCATTTGCTCAGGCTGGTTTCAAAATACTGCCCTCAGGCGATACTCCTGCTTTAGTCTTCCGAAATGTTAGGATTACAAAAGTGAGCCACTGCACCCAGCCCTAAATCATTTTTGAAAATTAAATATGTTAAATATCAAGGGACTTATTATTTAAAGGTGTTAGCTCTAATAAAAATCAATACATATTCTGCCTAATTTCTTTATATTCAGTTTTCTTTCTTTTTTTGAGACAGAGTCTCACTATGTTGCCCTCAGTAGAGCACCATAGGCATCACAGCTCACAGCAATCTCAAATTCTTGGGCTTAAGTGATTCTCTTGCTTCAGTCTCCCAAGTAGCTGGGACTATAGGCTATACTCAGTTTTTCAGTTTTCTTAAATAGAGGTCATTTCTATTCTTTATATTATCAAATAAAATGTCTAGAACCCCAAATAGCAGGCATGTTATTGAACGGCAACTCTGAAAGGTAAATAGTGGCTGCCCGAAGTTACCCTAAGTGAAGTTAAATCATTGCTAGCTAGGAAAACAAGTCAGATCAACTAGGTGTGAAATACCTTCTAGGTGGTAATGAATTACGTGGGAAAAGGGGATAATTGGCATGGATTCTTAGGCCCTCCACAGAGTGGAATTTCTCATTTAATAGGGTCCACATCCAAACATCTGATTCTTTGAATCTGAATGTTTCCAAATTATCATTAACAGCATTTTATCTAGAACCCAACTATTTTACTGAACAAATTCAGACTTCTCCACTGATGCTGTCAGATTTTTACCTTTTAGTTAATTAAAAAGGGCTAAGAACTACACTTTTGCATTGTCATTACCAACTGAAAGTGATCCTACACACTGATTCTCATCACACTACCTTCCTAGTATAAAGTTTTAAGCTATTTGTTTGAAATGGAAAGTTTCTAACATCATCAAAGGAATCCTTTCTATAACCCAAAAAGGATCCAATAGCTATGCCTGAATTCTAAAACTTAATCCTTTCCCTGCTCTATTTTTCCATTTCATTTGCTACAAACATCAATCTCCTCTCTGTTTCTAATGGACCTTGAAATTAATTTCTTTCCCAAATTTATTTACACCATTAGTGCCAGCACAATTATGGCAATTACTGCTGGGGAACCAGCGGAGGGAGCCCTAGAAAATGCTCTCTTTGACCCTAATACACTTAAAGGAAATTTCCTAAATTTCATAGTATGGAAAATAAGATCTTCAACACAGAAAACTAAACATCCATACAAGTATGTTTCTCTTGCAATCTTATCCGCTGACAAGAATCTCTGAGGCACCTATTCTCTCAAGCATCAGATTACCACTTCAGTACTTTCTATCTGCAAAGATCTCTAGATTGTTCATTTATCTTCTGTTTCCTTTAAACCATCCAAATTAAAAAAGTCTATATAGGATCATAGGGCATTTAACATTTCCTACTGGGCCAAATACCACAGGACTTTAAGATGAATAGATTAACATTTTGAGTTTAATAATTAAGATTTTACAAAAATGTACAGTGAGAGCCAGATGATGTGTCTTGGTTTTAGGCCATGGTTTTGCACACTTACTAGCTGTGTGGGCTTGGTAAAGTTTATTTACCTATTCTGGACCCTGGTTTCCTCATTTGCAAGTAAGGAATAATGTCATTACTTTTGAAAGGCCAGAAGTGGTGGCAAATGCCTATAATCCTAGCACTCTGGAAGGCTGAGGGGGATGGATAGACTGTGCTCAGGAGTTGAGACCAGCTTGAGCAAGAGAGAGACCCTCATCTCTACTAAAAATAGAAAAGTAGCCAGGCATTGATGTACATGCCTGTAGTCCCAGCAACTCAGGAGCCTGAGGCAAGAGAATTGCTGAAGCCTGAGAGTTTGAGGCTGCTGTGAGATAGGATGCCAGGGCACTCTACCCATAGTGACAGAATGAGACTCTGTCTCAAAAAAAAAAAAAAAAAAAAAAAAAGACATAAACGGTTTAAATTATATTTAGCACTATTTTTGATACCGAGCAACATGTAATAAAAATTTTTTTGAGATGAGGTCTTGCTCAGTTGCCCAGGCTGGAGTGCAGTGACTTGATCACTGTTCATTACAACCCCAAATTTATAGGCTCAAGAGATACTCCTGGCGAAAAATCTATGTTTAAAACAGTCCATGAGCTTGGTGCCTGTAGCTCAGTGGCTAGGGCCACTGGTGGGTTCA